GCTAGAGGCAAGTGTTGGTGTGATTTGTTGATGCGTGAACACATTATCGACAGTTAACAGTGAAAGTTTAACATCTCATCCACAACTGCCTCTAATCACTGGACCTGCAGCCTCTCATCCAGCGTCCTCACTCCTTCGCCTCAGTCTGTAGATATTCACCTCCGCAGCTCCAGAACTTTTCTGCTCTTGATTTCACTCTTTATTTGCGCAATTTGTTCCCCACACTCTGGACTCTCTGCTCAGTTCAGCTGCAGTTCCCCTGCTGCTCTATAAAGCCAACAACTCGCCCGGTTCTCCACACGTTCGGTCACACACTCCGTGCTCTGAGTGGCTCTGCTTCAGCTCAAACTCCCATACATGACACGTTTGGCCCTGCAGTAACTACTACTCTGCACTACAGCAGGCTTCATATCAAAAAAGTGTATAAACAGTAAATGTTGCTAGGCAACCTGGCATGTACAATATTGTTTTACATTAATTTCTATTGGGTCTAAATTACCTCCTCATTTGTTCTAGGTATAAACGGTTATGTTTATTTATTTATTATTTTTTTCATTTTTATTTCACACATCTTAAAATTCACTATTTGTTATATTTTAACCAATTTCGATATTTTCTTTAAATGCCACGGAGTGAAAATGACCCCCTTCGTGGTTCTACTGTTAACAGAGTGCAAGAAAGTCTGAAATTAGGGGTGGCTCAAAACTTTTGCACCATACTGTATCTCAGTAACTCAACCAACTCAGTCTACTTTGTTTAGTCTTTTGTTAATTTTTCATGGTGATCAAGTTTACATTGCCAAGCCGTTGTCAGGATAGGTTCCAGAAATAAAACCAGGAGAAAGTCACATTACTGAATAGTCAGAAATGGTTTCACTTGAGAGTTTGCAATTAATAAACAATTGTACTGGTATGAAAGAGCATCAATTAATAAAGAACTGAGCTATACAGCCACAGTGTCACACTTGACTGTTCCCCAAGTACCAGTACGAGAATGTGAGCAAGTTGTCACACATTCAGAAATATTTAAACTCACTGAGCCAAATCCTCGTTTCATTGAACGTAGTGAAGCTTGAGGACATTTCATTAAATTGCTCACACAGAAAAGTCAATGACGCACTGCTTGGCCGGATTAGGGTTTTTAAACTTTAGATAAGCTGGTATATTATGGTACATTATGTAACTGAGAAAGCCCCCCCCCCACCCAGTGTTGTGTCAGGTGTGTTATAGTATCAGAGCCCTGGAGTGGTTTAACGTCAGTATAGTTCCATTGTTTTTACTTGTTTACATTTGTAATTAGGACTGACTGAAGGAGCACCTGAGTATCTGCTCCATTACCAATGAGTGAAGTGCTGCTCAGTGGGCTTGAAAACAACCCAGAGACAAAGCACACATTATCCAAGTGCAGACTACACACTCACCTTCTGAAAGAAATCCTCCCCACCGTTGACTCTCCCCTCAGAGGCAGCTAGAGTGAGACAGAGGAAAGAGAAAAATAAATTCATCAAAACCACACAGAGTCACTCAGCTTTTAAATGTACAATCCAACCTAACACAGCCAAATCACACACAGATTATCCAGTCCTCAAAATGTTACCGTATCTGCACTCAGTAAAGTGTTTATGGTGGATCTCCATTTCTTTGCATATTGCGTTTGGCATGCATAGCGATACTGCTGATTTGCAAGAATGGTATAAAAATGTTCCAAGCAATTTTCTATAATCCTAGAGATTGGACACAGCTTCCGTGTAACAAATTGATGGATACAGTGAAAATATTTGGGCATTTTACAGTAGCCATTAATGGAGCATTTCATACCACACTTGGATTGACTGATGTTGGTTTTGCACTTCTTAAAATAACATTCACACTTATGACTTTTGTCTGTCAGCATACTGTAAATGCCTGGCCTTGGAAATGGTACATGAAAACTTTAAAATTCCCAAACATTGGGTGTAAACAGACTAAGGACTTAGAGAAGCAGTGGTGTTTGACTTAAAGTAAATTTCCAAGCAGGTGAAAATGCCAAGAAACTCCCTTAGCTGATACAGTAAGCAGGAGAGAAGCACAGAGCCAACCACCAGAGCAAGTCAGGCCTGAAGTCTCTCCAGCACATCTGCAAGTCCTCCAAGCTGTGGCAAGTTCTGTTAATGCAAAATACATATCTCCTATCCAAGGAGAATTCTCATGTTCCTGTCATTTGGGAATACAGGGAGGGTTTAATGATGCATTTCGGCCAACGTTCTCAAGATGGATCTGCTGCAGTCTGTGTAAATCTGGGTCAGAAACATCTGCAGCGGTAGAGTCGCCGTGACTTACAGCTCAGTCAAAAACGCTGACCTCGGTGCAATGACAACAAAAAAGTGTCCGAAACATCCATCCATCCATCCATTCGCTTCCGCTTATCCTTTTCAGGGTCGCGGGTGTCCGAAACATTTCAACATTTATTTCTGAATGGACAGCTGAAGTATAATGTATTCAAAAAGTGACTTTGCAGTTTTGAACATTAGAACCAAATTCAATAACTAAAAAAAAATGAACACTAAACTTATCGCACAGTAAATATCGCTGTCTGGACTGTTGGGCTTTAGAAAACCATAATGGTAATCATTTATGATAAGTTATAATGAATCAAGAACGTAACTGCAACTAAACGGAGCTCTAAACCTATTACATCAAAAAAGAAAAGCAACCATATGGTGAATGACCTCTGAGCCCCGTTGAGTTTTATGTAAAATTTCCTCAAACCTATAAAAGCTGGCCCATTTAAAAAAAGAAGAAAAAAGCCCATTACAGATTGTACACGGTGCAAAAAGTATTATATAATGATAATCCCACTGTGAAATTAGGGTGTGGAAAACATTGTTGAAGCTTTCCTATCCACACCACATTTTAAAAGACAGACAGATAATTAAAATTCACTAAGCACTGCATCCTTTTCACCACCCCAGTACACTGATAGCATGAATATTAGCTCATCATTGCATCCAAAAGCAGAAAAAAGTGGATTAGAAACTTGTGAGTCTGAATCTGGAGAGCCTGATTTAAGCGAGCTTATATCCACGACCATTCTTCCTGCTTTGGAAACCGATCGGAAAAAAATTCCAGCTGTTAACACTCTTATGCAACAACAACATTAACAACCGTCACGAAAGGGAAAATAAGCATCTTGTTGAATCAATGCTGGATGTCTTTTCAGCTGCTTTAAGTGCCTCTGATAGCGGATGCTCATAATGACAGCGTCAGCATTCTGCTGTGCTTAATCTGATAACAGACGAGACTAATAAGGGTGAACAGGATGGTGGGGGGCTGTGACGAGCTGTAAACACTGGTATGGACTAAAAGCTGTTTTGCATTGATGTAATTTCTCTTGTAATTTGTATTAATTTTGGGAATGCAAATATTTAACAAATCAGTATTTGATTCTTTAGATAAGGTATTTGCCAGGTAAAACGCACAAAATACTTGGCAGCTGCTTGCCAAATGCAAACTTTTTTTTGCTTTACTTTATCTCACATCATATACTTTATTTTTGTGACTGTCATGTATCCCAGGCGGGAATTTTAAGACGGGCACTGTGGTGGTATAGTGATTAGCATCGTTCCTCACACAAAGAAAGTCCTGGGTTTAAATCCTGCCAGCCAGTTGTTGTTTTTTTCTCTCAAAGGCATGCATGGGTTAGGTTAATTGGCAATTCTAAATTGAGATGTAAATGGTTGGTGTTTTTCCTGCTCTGTGTTATCCTTGCGATAAACCAGTGACCCACCCAGGGCATACCCCATAGGATTTTCCCCCAAATGACAAACAACTGATAAAGCATAAAATGTCATGAGTGTCAATTTGAGCTACAGTTACAACTATGCGGCTACCAAATACAAAACAACGTGTTCCATATTAACAGAACTCCCAGCATATTTGGTTTATCTCAGTGAATTTAGGTTTAAGTGTTTTCATCCAGTATTTGCTTTAGTATAGAACTGCTCCGACTTGAAAGCTCAGTTTCTAGGTGGTCTGAAGTTCCAAGATTATGAAAGACCCCGCTACCGTGTCACTTCCTGTAAGAACGAAGACAAACCAAAAGGAAAACAGCAGCGTCGGCTTTCCCCCATGTCTACTAAAAAAAAAAAAAAAGCAACAAACTGTCTAGCAGAGTAGACCAGCTGTTCTTTTATCATCTCATCTCCTCTTATCTTGCCTATATGTGGTAAAATAGTGACACAAGTACAGGTTAAGCCAACCAAAAGGTAACTTGCAATATTATTTTACTTGGTAATAATTTTCTATGTTGGAATCTGTGTTGTAATTCAACTGGAGTCAAGGAGATGATGTGATTATATTTGGCTCCATATAGCCAAATAAGGTGGTAAAGTTGCACAAAATGCTTGAAGAAGCAGGAAAACATCAAATACCTATCCACTTACTGATTTTAAACAAGTTAAACTCTTGGTCAGCTGTATGACATTTTCACATATTAAAGTATTCAAATAAGACAATGCATTTTTAAATGAATGAACCAAATGTGAAGAAGTTGTCGTGGTGCCTTGAAGCCAGTGTTATGAATTAGCAGTACACAAACTAAACTGGAGTGAGGAAAATTAAATTTGTTTCACTGATAACTCGCAAAAGCAAAAAAGTAATACAAAGACTCCAACTCCATCTTTGGCATAAATGTGGAGCTAAATGGAATTTGGTATGGGACACGATTGAAAACACGAGCCATGTGCAAAAAGCAAAACATCCTGTTGCCATATGTTTAAACTGGCCGTGGGAGAATCCAAGGCAGAGACAGACTGTTTGATGAGTTCCAGTGTATATAATTTTTTATAACTCGTTTGAGAAAAAAAAAGTAGTTGTAGCAGCTTTGGAGGTGGGATTTGGGAAAAGGGTGTCTTGGGTCTTGAGAGCTCTTTGCAAATGTAAAGCAAATTAGATCACAGGATCTGCAGGTAACGTCTTGATGCATGCTCAATCATCCAGGTAAGCAAATCCCCAAAAGTTGGTTCTATTATTCTGTTAATCTGGACGTATTGTTTTCCAGTGGGAGCTGACTGCAGGTTTCCCCAATTTTATAAACAGTACATTTGCATAATGACAGAAACTAGCAACACTGAAGGAACGATGGGCTGGGAGATCATTAATATGCAAATTCTCATGACCATTGATCAACAACTACAAATCAAAGCTGAAAAATGTTACATCCGGATGAACAGAATCAACTTTTGGGGATCTGCAGGTAAAACTTACAAACTTATGGTGTGTTTGTGTGTCTACAAACAGATAGCACAACTTTGACCTGAATGGGATGTGTGACAGGAAAAAAGAATTTGCTGTCCAAAAGTCCAAAAAGAACAATAAATAAAGCAATAATAAATTTCAATAAAGCAAAATTCTTTTTGGTCAGTGACCACAAAAGCAAAAGCCACAGCTTTTTGGAGTGATGGGCTCTACACAGAAGAATCAAAGGATTGCTTGGCTACAATACATGTGTTTTTGTTGTTTTGCCTTAAGGCACAGTAGACCTACATAGATTTTTATGTTTTTATCTTTTATGTTAAGGAAGTAGAGCTAATGTGTAATTAAATGTGCCATCTAAAAAAACGGCAACGGCCATATGTTTGGTGAACATCAAAGAAGTCTTTTCATACTAGCTGTGAAGCACGGAAGTCTAAATGTTATGGTTTAGGTTGCCTTGCAGCCTCGTAGATAGAGGGCTGCTTGCAGTCCCTGAGTGAACTTTGAATTCATATAAAACATTACTTGAAGATAAATGTGAAGACATCTGTTTGAAGCTGAACATGCAGCGGAAATATCAATGGAGTAATAATCCTTAGCTCAGGAGTAAATCCACCAAGGATGTGCTTAAAAAAGAAAAAGAAACACAGGGTGGCCTAGTTAAAGAATCCCAGTGAAGTATTGTTTTTTGGAAGAACATTACATCAATGTTTTTGTTGTTATCTTTAGGTACTGCGTCAAAGATGGTCAAAAGGGATGTACTTTTTTTTTTTGTAAATCAATCACTACTGATTAGAATAAAACACCAGCCTCATCAAAAAGAAAACTGCTCACATGAACATTAAGTTAAGTGACTGAAAGGCTGCCTCTCTACCGCCCTATGAAAGACTGGGATTATTTTCTCTGTTTTAATGCAGTGAATGGAATTTGCACCCATTATTGTTGAGTTTGAGACTTAAAATTCAGAAAACCAATAAATTCACCCTCTCTGCTTCAAAACAATCATGTGATGATTTGCCAATAACATAAAATTAGAAGGGAAAATGATGACCAGAGAGATCCTTTGGATTTAGCTTTGCCCTGTTTTTCAAAGAACTGACAGGCCTTTCACCGCACACACACACAAAACAAAACTGCAGAACTCATGCCTCTGTACTTAGATAACCAAGAAGCCTGTTATTTTCACCAACAGAGAAAACCAATTTAAATTATCAGCTTTCCTTCAGACAAATCAAA